TTTCTAAAAAAAATGACAAAGTTAAAGCAAGGGGCACACATACACCAACCTACGGTGTATGTGTGCCCCTTGCTTTAAGTTTGTCTTATGCATAGAGAGATATGTTGGCCTGGCCAGTACCTCACGCATGCGCGCAGCCATATCACCCGGGCAGTGGCAGCCGTTAGACAGCTGTTTCGCCCTTATTGGGGCTCATCAGCATGGCATGGGTCAATGAACAGGAAAATCGTCATGTATCATGCTGGGTTGGTGTATGTGTGCTCCTTGCTTTATATTCCCCCAACCAAAATAAAGCCGTTTAAGATCGCATGTTTCTTTCCCAACGCTGACAACAAAACAGACCTTGTCACGGTTTTCGACGCCGTCTTGACGAGTAAGCAAATGTGTGAGAAATTGCACTGTTTGTATGAGAATCTAATGTCGAATAATTTCCGTAAAACGGCTCTTCTGAAAAAAATATCAATCGCAAACTGAAGCTACAAAGCGAAGGATTGTCCAAAAAAAATTTGGGGGCGTACCTGTGCTTAAATTTCCCAGAGGCTTGCTTTAGATTTTCCATGATTTGTCAGTAATTTTCCCGGGACTTTCTTACAGACAAATGTATAGAAAATTTTAAAAAGTGGTTCTAGGTCTTCTAGGGCATGTAACGCCCTCAATTTTTTTCAGGAGAATCCTTAGGAGTGAAGCTTTTGTTTACAAATCATATTTTTTTCTGAACAGCCGTTCTACGGAAATTATTCGACATCACTGTAATTTCTCACGCGTTTGCCTACTCGTCACGCAACTTAGATGGCGTCGAAAACCGTGACAAGGTCTATTAAACAGCTTCAAGTTGGTATCACATTACGTAACACATTAGTCCCCTATAATCTCTATCCCACCCTAAACTCCCTTTCCACGAAAAAAAAGAAATAGAGAGTTTTAAAAGCATCAAAGTAATAACTTTTTTCACCCTCCCATCGCTGTGAATCCAGACGGCCCTTGATGCTGGGAGGGCATGCTCACCGCCATTGTTCTCTTTTCTCGCCCCAGACTCGCCGTCTTACCTCTCAAGCTCAACTCGCCGCTCTGTGAAATATTGAAAATTGTCCGAAATATAGTCATTTGTTCGTTGAAAGGGCGGCATAGCGAAGAAAATGTAACTAAATACAAGCTATTCTCCGGTCGTAAGCATTGGCAAACCCGTTGTAATGTTTATGTACTTAAAATTTACCTTATACAGGCGTGGGTGGCCTGTTGGTCTAGTGGCATGATTCTCGCTTAGGGTGCGAGAGGTCCCGGGTTCGACTCCCGGACAGGCCCCTTTTTCTCGGCCATATTTTTCTTTGTTTTTTTTTGTTTTATTTGTTTGTTTATGTGTTTTGCTTTTTGTTTTCGCTTAGCGTCGAATGCGTTTCCTGATATTGGGTCGGTCGCTCGCATTGAAAAAAAAAACTAAAAAAAAAATCACAAGAAGGACGCACAATATACTGTTGAAACATGTTCCTGTCTTTCTCTATTCTGTTACTATGCTCATTTTTCAGATTAAAAGAATTATTTCAGGGGAAAAATGGGTTAACCGAGTCGTCACTTTTTTTTATTTTTTTATTTTTTTATTGACGACGTTAAGGCCATCCTCCTTATCATCTCCGTTTAGTCCGACCGACCCATTTTCAAAAAAAAAAAATGGAAAAACGTAGTTAAACCATTTTTTACTTGAAATAATTCTTTTAATCTGACAAATGAGCATGGTAACAGCATAGAGAAAAACGGGGACAAAGACAAGAACATTTAAAATACGTGAATGTTAACTTTTAAAATCATCCTGGGGTACCAGGGCCTCCTATTCCGAGACTTCTTGTGATTTTTTTTTTTTATCATTATTTTTATTTTTTTTCAATCCGACCGACCGACCTAATATCAAGAAACGCATTCGACGCTAAACGAAAAAAAAAGGGGGGGATGACATAAACGGAGAAAAAAAAGAGGATGACCTTAAAGAACCGTGAAGCTAAGTTGCATTATTTAGCATTTCAATCAAACTAAAAGACTGCAGACTCATATTTTTTTAGCAATAATTGAATTTTATTTCTTCATCCTCTAGCATTTAATTTTATAGTACTTTTTACGAGCTAAAAGGGAAGCGGTGCGCGGGCGCCGGAACGAAGAGGACTGGGTACAAGTTAGTTTTGGTCGTGATGGCAAGCATTCATGCATGGTTCAATTTGACCTGTTACCATCCCCCCCGGGGAATCCCCGGGACAAGTCCAGCCGGGGGTGGGGAATTGTTTGAAGCGGTCCTGTCTTCTCTTGCTAGCCTGTGAACAGGCTCTCCGTTTGGGGAACTGTTCACAGGCTACATGGCTGCGGACCTCAAGAGTACGTATTTTTAAGGAAAAACGCAGGAATTTAATTTGTCGGAGACTGGCCCGTTGGTGAGGAATAACTTATCAAAATTAAAGTCTATATTTAAAGGTTTTAAAAAAAAACTTATATGACGTCGATCAGGAGCTCGGGGGTAGGGAATTGTCAATTTCTGCGTGCCCGGGGTGGGGAATAGACCTCCAAGAAAGGAAAAAAATACAAATCCCCGGGGGTATGCCCGGGGGGGCATGATTACGAGTCAAATTAAACCATGCATGACACTACTAACTATGCACTCGATAAAGCTCTCTCCTCCGTAGAGGCTCCCGCTTGGTATCCATATAAAAACAGAAAGTGCGCGGGGAACGATGGGAAGAGAGAAAAGGCGGGAGCCTCTGTAAGATGTCAGATCTCTGACAAAGATATCATGTGAGACCACTTTAAAAAACACACGAATGCGAGCCATTTTCAAGCACGGGGCTCTTCCGCCCAGCGACTTGGAAACTTTCTTCACGCCTTTTCTTCCGACCCGACTGACCGCCCCTGCGCGCAGGGTCTCGATCCGCCGGCGAGGATGGGCGGCTTGCTACTATAATAAAACCCCTTTTGTCTAAATTGAAGCCAGTTCGAAAATCTCAGCTGAATTCATAATAAACGTTTGAGTGACCTGGGGTAACATATTTTGACAAAATACAAGAGAAAAGAAAGGAAAGAAAAGTAGGAGTCCGTGGGAGGATTCGTTGTGGCTTAGACTAAGAGTAGTCTCCAGCTTTCCTCATGGATAGTACATAGGGCGAGCGAAACGCGAGTGCGCGTGAAAATCACCCTACGCGAGCAACGCGCTCGCGTTTCGCTCGGTTTACTTTCCCTGAGGAAAAAAGGGGACTACTCGTTGTCTAGTTTTGGTTCGGTTTCAGCTGACCAGCCTACGTTGCAGACGGCTCAGGCCCTGCCTAAGCCTCGTCTAGACCACTGGTATATACAGGTCACGGGTTTTCAGTGTCCGCGAAGCAGGCTAGGTTTCAACACATGCTGCCAGTTTTCTTAGGACTATTTTTGTCATCAGTGTTGCTCGTTCCCTGGCAGCTATTGTTGTCTGACTTTGGGCGACCACCGAAGATTCTAAGGCTGACATTTCCTCTGATTTTTTGCCCCTATATTTAGCAGACTGATCGTTTCATCACCTAATCATTATCCTCCCAGGGCCAGTTACCGTCCTTTTTCTCAGGAACCATCGTGCCATTTATCATCATGGTATCTTGGATAAATGTTTGCCACTCCCAGGAGCCCATGAGTCATAGGCTCCTGCCACTCCTTCTTTCTCATTCTTCACCAGTATGGAGATGTTACAAGAGATGTTTTTGTTTATACAGGTATTAAACAGAAACAGACTACGTAACTCTTCGTTGTCTTCAACAACCAAATGATTGTACGTCGGCATACTGACCGAGTAACTTAAAACTAAACTGTAGCAGAAGCCCCTTGTTATGGGGCGCCTGATTACAGGGGCACCCAACAGCAATTTTCGGAAGAATATCTGTTTGGAAGACGATTTGAGATCTAGAATTTTCGAAACATTTATTGTAAAATTTCTTGCTTGCCTGCCTCTCCTAGGATTTTCGAACATCTAAAAAATGGTATAATTGCCTATTTTTAACGGATTTTTACCCTAAAAAGGTCACCTAGAATTTTCGGGAGCCTTTTTTCTGGCTGTAATTTTCGAAAAGGTAAGTTTTGATCCCTATAATTTTCGGATCACTAGACTTTCAGCTAGGAAATCCGAACAGATGAAAAATTTTTAGGGGATAAAAATATGCCTATATCTACCGTTTAAATACTAAAATACGTTTAACAATAATATGTTTAAGTGGTTTTGAACTATATTCTCGTTGGGTGCCCCTGTGATTATGCTTCGTTTATCAGCTGCAGGTAATTGCTTTTATAAACCGTAGTAAGGAAACAAACGGCGTTACAACTCAATTAACTATTAAAGACTTCATACAGAGAAAATCCCTTAGCTACTAAACACACCTCTTGAAAATTAAGTTTCGATATACAAATTAAAACTAACTCATTCAACACTTCCGATGTTTTAGCAATACATGGCTTTTAACGTGACTGAATCCTGTTATATATGTTGTAGTTAATTTTTTATCTCAGGCAATTTTTATTTTTCCTTTGCTTCAACTTTTTTAGCATAGATTACCATACCCAAAAACAAAAGAAAAACAAAAACTACCTGAGATAAAAAATTAACTACAACGTATCTACCTTTTCCAAAAATGGCGGCACATTTTGTTAGGCTTCTCCCTAATGATATATAATTGACCCGCGACGCCTCGTTTCAAGGTAAAATTCTTTTGAATTCGGCAGGTGCAATCAAGGAAAAAGTGGCTAATTACCACAATCAATATAAAACAATATTCTTGCCATTTTGGAATTAAGTAGTCTCCCACGCAGGCGTTTTTAGGGGAGCTCGTATTTCGTCTCCCTAAAATAAAAACGCCTAAAAACTGTTCAATTTGTTCGTAAGATGCGCGTTAAATGATAGTTTTTACAGTAAATAGATCAATGTTGACAATTGTCCTGGGTGATACTAAAGACTGACAGTCAGATGTGATATTTAACCTGGGCGCTGCACGATGCCCCGAGTGCCCTCATGGCCGCCAAATCCGCCTTTCAGTAATGGCATCAAAGCTGCTAGTCTTACTTCTGTGGGAATAATAAGCGGCGTCAGCTGGAGGATTAGAGAACCGTTTCCCTTCTCTGTCTCTTGGGCAAACAACTTTGGTCCATGACACGGGCTGTGAAAAGGATTCCATAATTATAATAAATATTAACAAAACTACGTTTAGAGTGTATTGAAAAAAGGAACGGCTCTTGGTTAAAAGAGGAGCTGAGGTTTGATAAAAAAAAAAATACATGCAAAATAGTGCCTCTTCTGTCATCATTTTCACCTGATTTGGCATTTTTGGCAGAGGTTGCCCTTGTAATACTTAAAAGTGGATTTCTTTTAGAAAATGCCGTGAGTACCTTGCTTTATTTCCTAGTTTGGTGGATCAATAGTTCGGTGTTGACTCTTCTGTAGGTGAGATTCAGTTGTTTTATCTCATGTACAACAGCTAACAAATGCCTGCCTCACCTGTCCATTTGGCTTGCAAAGGATTGTGGTACATTTTGGTCCAGTCCTCCACTGATGGTGATCTCTGTTCACGAATTCTGATGGAGGATTGTGATTTGATAAGCTTGACGCGGACCATACCTATAGGAAAAACAAAAACAATCTCTTGTCTCGCACAATTTACATCACTGGTCCAAGAGACAATGCCTTCTTTTTGTTTGTGTACTAAAGTTTCCTGAAGTATGATGAAGAGACAAGTAAAGATAACGATGCTGAAAAGCGCAGGGATAATAGAGACGAAGTAGACGATCGAGAAGAAGTTTGCATCACAGAAATAATATATAGATTTAGCCAGGGCTAAAAGCGAAGCTCCCGTTAATAAATTCATAATTTAAATCAAACAATAAACTTGTAATCCACAGATCAGGCCACATTCATTTGACTTTTGAGGCAAAGGCTGAGTGATTTTAGAGAAAAATCAGAATTCGACCGTCCAAGAGTGAAACAAATTTTACATCAAGTTACTTGTACACCGAAAAATAGCAATCATGTTCGATCACAGTAGATTAGGCCTGGAAAACAAATAGACCTATTCGTGTATTGTATTTGCATTAGCTGTAGCATCATAATGTGGCATTCATCAGTCTCTCCAACATTGCTCCGTTAGAGAGACTATGGATAATTGGACAACCCCGAAATATAATTTTAAGAAACATTTGCGCCACGATAGTCCTGGTGGCAGCCAATTTACACGTTGCATTCCTCTGTCTAAAAGAAAGGCCAAAATAAAAATCAGGCCGGATTTTTTGTGTTCGACAAGTTTAGTTTACTAGTAAATCTTGGCGACGAATCTGGTGGCGTGTAAACCAGCCTTTTAAACATACTTTTTCTCATCACGTCTCAGGTAAACAGTACACAGACCTCGGACAGAATTTGTTCTTTTTTGCCCTATGTAAACTTATAATTCTGCAGTTTTTCACAATTTTGCAAGAGAATTTGCACTCATTCAATATCCACGACGATCAAAGCACGCGCTTCCTTTGCACAACAAATTATAGCATTGAATTATAAAACGTTTTCTGTTAGAAAAATCTGGTCCTATGTGATATGCGGGGTAATAATTATGGGCTTTTAATGAAAACGATAAAATCACTTTTCGGCCAGCCGGACGGGTTCTCACTTTTGACAGGCACCAAATTTGCAGTGCGATTAATAGAGTTACCATTTACGCTTCAACATGATAGAGAAATTGTTATGTTTAGGTTTTATTTCCCTTTATTCATTAAACTGTGTATGATTTTGTTCTATGATCTTTAAAGCGAGTGATATTTACGCGCGGCGTTTTGAGTATTCCTACATGAGATGTTTATGTTCGACTGGAAACAACCGGTGCAGCGATGAAAACTGCGAGAGGGACTACTAACAATCAATAAAATAAGTTTAATTCGGTGAAACATGTACAGAGACAATAATTTTCATTCACGAAGAGAAGTATTGAGAGGAAAGTGTCTCAGAAAATCATGAGTCAGGCAAGCATAAGCTTATTTATGTTTTAAGCCAGCTTCCCGGCGTTCGCTCTTTTTCAAGATGAACTCGAGGCAAGAAAATCGCTCAGAGCTTTCTGTTTACAGCCCAAAACATAACTAAATAATCTTCGGAACCTTTTCTTTGAATTTGCGGGTCAAAAAATGTCTAAAGGCTTTTTAAACCTGATACTATTGTAGGTTAGATCATTGCTCGTGTTTTAACTTAAGCCGCGTAAACCATACGCTCGACTTCAGGAAACCGAAAAAAAAAAATTTCATCAAAAACAATAATGGCTCAAGCTTACCAGTCGAGATGCTGCTTCTGAAGGTCATCAAGTGTTCCAGAATCGCTTGAGACTTTTCAACCTTCTTACCCCTCAAGCAAGGGCAAGTGAGTAAGCTCATTTTTGAAAACTGTTGAAAACGATGCCATCCGTAATCGGATTTCCAATGACTTTGACAAGCGGTGCATTTGTCAGCAAAAAGCGCAATAAACAAACCAGCCACGAATTACATGTACAGAACAATCTTGATAGCAGCTGTATTTCATTTTGTACACCAAGTAGAAAAAGACAGTTTAAAACATCACAAGATGACACAAAACTCTCTCAGCTCCAGCTATCAGTAAGCAAGTTTCAAGACGCTGCAGAAATTTTCCGCATAAACTCACCTGTCAAATTTTGACCAATCAGAACATAAAAATTGGACGTAGAGCGTGATCAACGCGTGACAGTGAGAAAAGTCAAAAGCGATTGCCTTCCCTGCATGTAAATGTAAAAGCCGGTTGAATTTTCGTGTCCGAGATCAGTTCGAAATCAACATTTTAAAAGTGCGGCTCATGAAACACGACTTATTTCATATGCTTTTTAAAGGTCGATACCTCAGCCCGCGATACGGTCAGGCGATATTGGTCAGCAGAAACACTGTTTTGACAGGTGTGAATTAATCAAAACATGGATGTACAATATCAGGTCGCAGGCTCCCAAACTAGCTAGAAAGTGTGAGATTAAACATTGGTATGCCTGTGGCACGGACGGACGGAGGGTCGGGTGGTCGGTGTACGGTCACGAGATTGCCGAATTTTCTAGCATGGATAGATTTTCTATAAAGCTATGGGGCTTCGAATTGAGCCCGTGATCAAATAAAATATCAGCGCAAAACTTTAAACACTACGTGACCTCAATAGATAGAAAAATGAGCCCGCGATCCACTCAGGTGATGATGGTCAGCGTATACTCTAGTTTGACAGCTGTCAATTAACCTTCATTAGAATGGCGAATATTCGAATTAACAGACCACGAGTGTGAGTAGGACATTTCCGTCCGGCATGTAATGCAAAATGTCAGATCGTGTACCTGAGCGAACCTGAGCCCTTCTGATAGCGGTCTGCACATGTCCCATTTTGACAGCTGTCAATGGACCTTAATTTGGCCTGCCAATATAACTTTAAACGACTGTCAGCTAACTGACAGCTTTGCCCGGCGTAGTTTCGTTTTTATGTTGAATTGGTAAGTGTGACATATTATATCAGCTTACATATAGGGGCAAAACGATTGGTCTTTTATCTGAGCCCGCGAGACGGTCATGTGATAATTGTCAGCGGATGTCTGATTTTGACAGCTGTCAATCTAATCGTACTCATACGAATGGCTTACATAACTAAGAGGCTAGTCAAGTTGTGCAAGATCTGTTGTGACATTTGACATCGGCTTACATGAAGTGTGTGTACGGACGGGCGTACGCTACGTCATAACCAAATTTTCTGGGATGGATGGTTTACCAAATTTTCTTACCCATGGTGCTCCGCTGCGCGCGCGCTTCGCGCGCGCGGGAGCTCCGCTAAAAAGCCTTACTCGCCATACATCATATGGCAGTGAGAATGGCTGTCAAGTTTTGAAAAACCATGCGCCTAGGACGCTTATTCGATTGTTGCTCCATTTACCAGGCTAAATAACAATACATTTAATACTATACTAGAGGCATGCAAAGGACAGGCTGTCAAAACTTAATTTTGTGTTAATGATATATGAAATAAATCATATATGAACTGCGGAAATGAAATGAAAATGAAGAAATGATCGTCACAGTGAACGCAATTTATGCAATTGCGTAAAGCCTGAAAAAAAAAAGCCGGAAAAAAAATTCAGGCCTCTTTACGCAATTGCATAAATTGCGTTCACTGCGACGATCATTTCTTCATTTTCAATTAATTTTGTATCGATCCTTACCGTTGTATAGGTTTGAATCTTGAGAAGAGTTTCCGGAGGAAAACGGAACAAACTAACAGGCCTACCAGCTACATTCTGTCGAATAATAAATCCACCAATCTCTTCATCCTGTAACGAAATAATTAAAAATACATGTAAAATGATGAGAAGCGGGATGTCGTCGGAAATACGTAACATAATTGATCGAAAGGTGATAAACTCTAATGCAAAGGAATTCGCAGTAATCCTGTGGCAAATCATCCTCGGAGACCCAGGGGCAGATAGTAGGGGCGAGGGAAAGTCTAAACGGGCGGAAAAATATGGCACGAAGAAAAGTAAAGAACGGTGAGAAGAGCCCCTGGGGACAATGTCTTACCAGACCAGTTCCAGACGGTCGTCGTTGTTCTGGCTTCTGATTGGTGGCAGAAAACTTGTGTTTTTCTGGCACCAATCAGAAGCCAGAACGGCGGCGACCGTCTGGAACTGGTCTGGTAAGACATTGTCCCCAGGGGCTCTTCTCGCCGTTCTTTACTTTTCTTCGTGCCATATTTTTCCGCCCGTTTAGACTTTCCCTGGCCCCCACTATCTGCCCCTGGGTCTCCGAGGATGGTGGCAAATTAGGGCTTTGACTGGGAAAATTTTTGTGTTTGGGAGAAGTGGGCGCTTATGGGATTGAGGTGGTCGCTTATATGAGAGATTGTCGCAAATGGAGTTTCGACTGTATTTGCTTTTAATTGAACGTTAGAGCGGTTTTCACTTGACTGTCGAAACTGAGGAATTGGTTTGGTTTTGGTTTTGGTTCGTCTTTCTGATTGGCTCTTTAAAATAGCTCTACCAATCAGCCAGGAGGCATTGTTTTCTCAGCCAATCAAATTCGCAAGTAAACGCAAATCGTGTTTTGGTTTTAGTTTTACTCAAGTTTCACTCACGCAATTTCTTTGGTTTTGGTTTTACGACAGTCAAGGGAAAACCGCTCTATTATCATTATCATCATCTTTACCATTAGATTAATTTTAGACTGTAAAAACCAAGATATGAAAGAATAAAACTCGTACGTGAAACAATCGGTTCTAGGTCCAGATGAACGGGATGGTTAGAAAACAAGACTAGCTTCTTGTGTACTTTAATCTAGAAGGTTGGCGCTAATGAGTAATTATAAACACCTTTTATGTTAAGCAATTATATTTCTCTTTCTCACCATGAGGAGTTCAAGTAAAAAAAGAACACTTCTTTCTTCCGATTCTTTAAAATAAATAGTGATTAAAAGTGACAAAACTGCGGAAAAGAACTAGCTGCTCTCCTTGAACTCACTTTGAACTCTGAATTGTTGAAGACACGCACAAAGTCACCGTCCGGATGAACTTCTAAGGTCAAAAAATCTTCCCTCTGGCTGAATTAGCAAAAAGACAATCAAATCTTTACCATTAGATCAAGAAATGCCACGAAGCGTTATATTCTGTTATTGGAAGCATAATTGAAGGAGACATAACCGTGTGTCAAAACTGTTATTGACCTTTTCATTTAACGAGTCGAGGCTGCTGGTATGTGTTAAGCTAGGGTAAAACGGGCCAAAACAAAGTGCAACTTGTTTTGCAACATGCTGCATGGCGCAGAACGTGTCGAATAGCAACGTTGCATGTTTTACCACCCACACGTTCAAATCTGTCTTGCAACAAATAAAGCTAGGTTGCTGCAAGATGCATGAATACTGACTTCTAATTGGATTGAATTACGCAGGAGTTGCGTCACTTGCTGCGAAACAAGCTTGCCTTGGGCCGGTAAAACGAGCAACAGGTATACACAAAAATATTAATTGCACTTCTGACAAGTCTCCACTGAAGTTCAGAAAATGTAAAGGAGTAAGGGACAAAAGATGAGGCTTTGCTTTCCTTTTTTGGTTGATGATGTCCACTGATCATGGAATAGTACTGGTATACTTCTCTTGGGAATGAATGGTATAGCCCTTCCCTGTCCCGAACTATCTCATAAGTATCCATCCATATACGTGAGGGGAGGGCAAAGAATACACTGGCCAAGAAAAATTTTTTCAGAAAAGACTGCGAAGACGGTGTCAACGTGCAACTAAGAACTGTAAGTCTCCACCAGAAGTAATTAAAAAACCTTAAAATGAGCGCTACCTTAAAGAAAAATGGCTGGGATTTTCCAGGATTAGACTTGAACTGGTTACGGGTTCGACTACATGCTTCACGTTTGTCACAGACGATTCACCATGTACAGCTACCAAAAGATATGGTTACAATTTTATAGATATATAAGGAATGTATAGATAATTGCTTTCAGAAGTGAGAAGTGAGTGCACTGAGATTTTAAATCTAAGTTCAACTATAATCCCTTTGTTTTACTGTGGAAATTGGTAAAATGATCATTCATGGGCATTCCGCAAGTTGGTGATCGCTTTGTGTGTGAGTTGCTGGCCCAACAAATTTACACTGAATCACAGTAAAAACGAACTGACTAGCCGGCTGTCCCAGGCTCCCAGATAGTAGAGCAGCAGAATATAGCGGTGCAGTTGAACGGTAAAAAGTTGCTGTGAAAAACTCCTCGAGGGGGCTTCCCCAGATCGCGCACGTCTTATTTTCGCTAGGCTTGTTTTATTCTAGCCTGCTACTTTTGCGTCTTCCCCGCTATCTGAGAGCCTGGAACTGGCCAGTTTTATTTTTTGCCACGTCCCTACTTTCTGAAAGCCTGGAATAGGCTGAAAAGAAAAAGACTGCGTACATATTGAGCTCAGAGTCACTTGACACGTGACCGTGACGGCGTTTTTGAGATAAGGACGTAACCCGGAAGTAGAATTTTTGCATTATTGGGCTGTTGTTTGGTTGAAACGCTCGGGTAAATTGTCTTTATCAGAGAAAAGAAACTTAACAATACAAATTTGTTAGCGTTAAGGCATATGAAAAGGAAGAAGGTTTCACTTCCGGTTGACAAGCGTTGCTCAAAACGTCTTTGCTTAAGCTCCCTCCTGTGGGCTCAGCAACCTGACCTTTAAATGCAATGATCGACACAAGTCACCGTTACTTGTTAAACACGTAGTATGAGTATAAGTTCAACAGGGGTAAGAGAGACGGAATCCCATTATCCTCTCTTGATAGGGGTTACCACTAAAAGCAAGGTCATCTCATCGTCCCATGGAAATGAAGGCAAATCAGGCCGGTTTCCGAAATCTGGAAATCTTTTGCTTGTGAAATCTGGACACCTGGGTTTTGACATCCGGAATGCCGCTAACAATTGGAATCCGGAATGCAAGTTCCAATGACAAGCAATCAGGAATCCAGTAATTGGAATTTCGGAATCCAGTGTGGAATCTAAGAATGTCTTGGACTCCCCTCATCCCATGGGGCGAATCTCCCGTTTCATTCACGTCTTGACAACTCCCTATACTTATCCTTATATATTATAGGAAATGCAGTCAGTAAGGTTTCACCTGATGTGGAGTTGACTTCCGTCACAGTTTGCTTGATCGCCGTACTTGTAACTGGTTGATGATGATGCGCATGCGTTGCACCATGCAGGTTCGTGGATGAACCTTTCCGTATCTGACCATTGGGATGACAGAGTTGACAACGAACAGATCCAGTGGCACGCTTGTTCTCCACGGACAGATTAAGCCTTAAGAAACAGAAGTTTCACACTATATAAATGTAAACAAACAAACAAACAAAAGCAAAACTTTTTTATTTATGTAGAGTACAGCGCAAAAGCCTTCGCCCTGAATAGCGCAAAGGCTATCATGCTGGTTAAAGAAGGGAAAACCCCATTCAATTATTAGGGACCACTCATAATTTAAGTTGGAGGGGGGGGGGGGGGTGGAGGAGAAATTGTTTTTTATTCCAAATTATTTCCAGACCCCCCACTAATAGCACCCATGTTTTTAGGCACCCCCCCCCCCTTCAATCATGTTAAAAGATTTAAGGGCCCCCCTTTCTTATACATAATACCCAAATGGTAATAACAAATAACATTTTCTTTACTTTACCGTTCTTACTCACTGTCACTTCCGAATGTGCCAACTAACAACAGAGAAGCACTTCACACTAAACTGAGAAAGAGATTTCACCTACAGCCTCTCAAACAGCTTATAGAGCAAGGATATATCAGTGATTGTGTTATAATTGAGATAAGACAAGCCATCGAAAGATGAGAGGCCGACAAGACCGCTTCAAGGAAGAAAGAAGATAATCAGCCAAAGCTTACTGCTTTTTATATGAGCAGTACATGCTCTAATAGCAAAAAACTTGACGGTGACACAGACAGAGAGTCCACATCAACCTCATCTACAAATAATGATTCAGATAGTGAGATTGCATAACATGACTTTATGCATGTAATCAGTTGTTAAAATGCCGATGAAATTGTTTCAGTGTTACACAATAATGGATGTTGTGTTTATGCACCTACTATTTGAGCATTAAATCTTTTTGTCAAAATGCTGATTAAATTGTTTTAGTATTACACAATATTGGACTTTGTGTAAAACTGAATCAAAATCATTTCCTTTAATACTCAAACATCATGCTGCTCAGTAGGGATGCTACTTAAAAGAAACTTGAAGACCCCCCAAGGTCATCTTTTGGCTTTTTATGGCCCCCATATTCCATCCAAAAAATTAGCCCTCCAACTTTAATTATGACTGGTCCCTTATAAGTAATTTAATGGTAAAATAACACACCAAATTACAGTTGGTCTGAACTTGTAAATATTGACTGGGAGTTTTCAGTAATTTTAAGTTTACCTATTCATCCCACATGAATGATCGTTTCGATCATCCGAAAAAAAATAGTGATCGTCGCGACTTCAATTTTATCAGAAATAGACGTAGAGACTCTCGACGTTACTCTACCTTTTTTCCTCGGCTTCCAGTAAAGTAGCGAAGGCCTCTACCTCTAGATTCACAGGATGACGAGTCTTAAATGTGACACCAAATTGTCGCACTTGATCCATCAGGGCTTTGTCAGCTTCTCGCAGCTTGATCTCAAGATTCTTTATCATGCTTGCTGCCTGCTGTCGTTCCAACTTCAGATTTTTAAACAGCTCTGCTTTCTGAGCTTCTAGGCTGGCGCACTTAAGTAACAACAAAAGGGCTTTTATAGACCTGTTAAGTCAGTTTTACTATATGAAAGGGTGTGGATCTTACCCTGTTGAAGTATATGGAAAATTAGGGGAATCTGTCATTTCGGTCTGTAAAAAGGCCCAGAAGGGGCTAAAAGATGCATTTAATGGTTGTGAAAAAGTGGAGAACACACTTTTTGATTTATTTATATTTTAAAAGACAGTGCATTTACAGCAAATAAAGAGTTCTAAAGAAGGTATGTGAAAGGGGTGCTATTTGTCAATAGACTCAGAAGCGGATCTAGGGGGAGGACCCCCCCTCCTGAGATGACCTGCGGTTTTCTAATACAACTGGTATTCTGCAAAAAAAAACTATGTGGTTTATTGGTGTTGAAGTAGAGCAAGAGACGAGTGCACCCCCTCTAAAAAAAATCCTGGATCCGCCCCTGAGACTGTATATGAAAGGGGTACGCTTTCTGTCAAAAATGGTAAATAAAAGGGTAAGGGAGAAGTTAAGGGGGGTTGAACTTTGGGGCGGAGCCTTCCCGTATAATACTATGTTGAATTTCCCCCTGGGCTTGACGTACCTTGGCTCCGAGGTTGATAACTTTGGCATTCAATGCTTCAGCCTCAGCCTTAAGATGAACGTTGTCATCTCTAGTAGTTTCAAGGTTCAGGAATGCATCATCTAGCTGGATTCTAATCTGCCTTACCTAGCAAAAAAAAAATTTTGTATTTCTACTGTTTTTAGCTACTCTGAAGAGAATAAAAAACATTTTCATTTATGTTTTGCGCCACTTTCCGGTCGCGGTTTGTTGAGCTCATTCGTCCCTAATGTCCCTTGAGAAAATTTTCAGTTTCGTGACTTTCTTTCGTATTCTTAAAAATATATTTCCAAACTGATATTGAAATATATGCTAGCGTTTTTCAGGATCAAATGCACTGAGAGTAGCACTATTCACAATAAAGTGAAACTAGATTGGACCATTTTGTCGTGTAATGCCTCAAAAGGTAGCTAAGCTGGCGCTCACTTATCAAAAGGCCCATATTAAGTCGTATCGTTGTCGTCGAAAACGCATGAATCGATTCGCGTCCACACTACCGTTATGAGTCTTCGACTGTCCACACTAAAGCGCTCAAGAACCAAAGAATTGCACATTGTGACGTGAGTTGAACTCAATACGCATGTTACAAACAAACGCGCCTGCCATATTTTCGGTCATTGTTTTCATTTCGATGCGTTTTCGACTGTTTTCGACGGGTAGGGACTAGAATGGATACTTCAAAATCAGGTTGGAGACCTTATGTTTATTGCACAACGCTATACTCTATACCACGTACTACTATATTTAGGCGAATTTACTGGGCACGAGAACTTTTAGAAAAGTGGGGAAATCAGAGTAAGAGACAGTTGTGCACCGGAAAGAGTTGAATACAGGGTTTAGCACCGAAGAACAGTGATTACGGTTAAGCACTGTTTTAAAAACAGTTAGCTTTCAATAACGTAATGATCAACGGCGTGCAAAGTACGTTAAAATTAACCAGTCTCGGCAGCTAGCCCTTGATGGTGTAGTGGATATGGATGTGGATTATACATCAAATGACGCGGGTTCGAGTCCTACATACTATCTACTGTTTTCTTCTGTTTTCTTTCTTCTCTTATTTACTACTTTAAGTTAAGACTCCTCTTATGTACTTTGAGTGGAGATGACAATCTGACTTTGGGGTATCCTTTATAGTCACAACCGTTTTCGACGGTGGCTGAAGGCCTAAACGTATCGAAATGTTAGTGTGGACGGGGTGTGAGACTAGACTTAAAGTTGAAGAAAGCCCTCGGATTGTAGCATAAACGGGGAACACTTGATGATCAATGCCTTAAAATTCTTTTTGAAATATTTTACCCTAGAATAATACCTGCAGTGATAATAGTAATAGAACAATTCTGTACCCCGTTTTCGTAAGCGGCCTCCGACTCTTCCTTAAACTTTTGAAACTCCATTTCATGTCGGTTTTTAATTTTTGCTAACATGGCTGAAATTTTTTCTTCACTGGAATCATATTCCTCATGAGTCCTCCTTTCTATCAATTCAATGCTCTTGTTGGCTTCGTCCAGGCTACAACGCATCTCGCTCAATTCCTATCATTCGAAATAAAAATGCAAATAGTTAATGAATTATTATAGAGAATCGGATATTTTGAAGAAAAGTTCAAATTTTGTCTGAATGTTGGATGCATGAATAGCAGTCTGTGTGATATACAGCAGAGAAATTATTATCTGTATTTTAGGTGACGCGCATCAACGCAGATGGTTTTGGAATCATGAGCTTAAGAAAGACTAACTAGTACGCATGTGTGTTGCCCCATATGGAATTTTTGCTTGTGGAATCCGGATTTCTGGGCTTTGGAAATCCGGAACTCAGCTGAAGGAATTCGGAAGACAAGTTGCACTGACAAGGAATCCCTCGAATTACCTTACATCGGGCGATCAGGACCTTGTAAGGATAACAAACGCCGCAGTGCATCAATAAATAAAAAAGGACATTATGTTTTCTGTCTGTTCCACCATCCTTTTTTTGTCATGAGGATTTACCTTTTCAGAAAGCTGTTGCTGAAAATGGAACTTTTCCTTAAGCTCATTTGCTAGATTCTGCAATTCATCTTTTGCCGCCATTTCCACCTCTAAAGTTTGCTGAGTTCGCGTCAGAGTAGCCAGAAGACCATCTCTATGTTGTTTGGTCTCAATGTGTGCATTCTCCCGTTGGGCGGCTTCATTTCGTGCATCTTGCAAGAGAGCTTCCTTGTCTGCAATAGCTCGTTGGGCATCTTTCAAAGCTTCTTCCAGCTTTTTCCGGATATTGGCCTCCTTCTCAAGCCTTGAAGTTTTCATATGGTAAGAAGAAGTAATTTCCGCGATAGCGTCAAATGAATACAATACCAGACAACACATACCGGATCAGACCCAATTCTAGCAGCTGCCACATTACATTTTCTCATTCCCCTGGGAATTCCCGAATTCCGACTTTGACTTACCAAGCGAAAGGAAAATAGATCCTGATCTCAGGTCAAATTTTGAATTCATAGATCTGATTACTGACAGCCTCATCACGAAATGCCTTAACGCCAGGTTTAATTTGTCGTCGAATGTTCGGACTTGTTTTAAAGCTGGGTATCCTTTTAATTGTTAAGTTGATTTTTGAAGTATATCAAATATCTAAACTAAACTGGATAACTATGCTTAAAACTGTACCAAAACAACGTCAAAAAGACCCACTATCACTATGAGTCAGCAAGTCATGATCTATTGTCTAGAAAATGTATTGTATCTGAGATGCGAAATTATTCGTGCCTACCAATTCCGGCCGCTTGGATGATAGCTGCGCTAAGGGAAAAAACGTCTTGGCAACGAATTAATGTTCAGATTCTCATGGAAAACTGAGCTGTAATTGTAGCCGGGGGATATAAACGAGGTAACTGCACTTTTGTACAGTAAAACCTCGAATGGTCGGTTGCAGTTTAATACACGCTTGACTGGAAACCAGCTAAGAGAAATAACGATGGCAACAAAGCCAAATAGCCAAACATTCGACAAATTGACCTCAAAGTGTTTCTACCTCTTCTTGTGCCAAATAAAAGGAAAAAATACAAGATCACTAAACGCCGTGCAGACACAGTTTATCTATTAAACTTTTAAAAATGGTGCATCGCGACAAAGTGAACGTTTAATAAAGTTGAAGAGAAAAATAGTAAAGGGACCTCGGACCGTTTATTTTGATTTATAATGGTGACCGGGGATGTTACTAAAACGCGGAACGGGGAACGGGGAACGGGGAACGGGGAGCGGGGAGCGGGGAACGGGGAACGGAAGTCTGGGAACGAGTTGTCAGCGGAAACCTCCATAAAAATCCAAAATGGCCGGTAAGGATCAAGAACCCGGTAAGATCGATGATAGAGAAGCGTCGAAACAACACTTAAGGTCGCTATTTTACTAATGAACTATATGCTCATGAGGTGCTTGAAATAATACGGAGGTAATAATGTCATGACATTTTGCACCTTTTTGCGTTTTACTAAACAACAAAATATGCTTCAACAGCAGTTGAAAGAAGCTACAGTTGGGACAAAAACTCTCAAAGCACAGCCATATTTGGAACTCAAGCGAATCTATACTGGGTCTAACTCACAAAGCAATGAAATACTTTTGCTTGACGCTTTTAGTAGGGTTTTGGCTTAAATACATGCTGAAAGATAACGTAGATCGAAGCAGCCAGGTGTATTTCCTCGACAGTAATTGTGTAGCAGTGGAGCTCCTTCCTAGCAGTAGCGTTTTTTCAAGCCCAAATTAAAACATGTTGGCGATGAGATAAAACTGTAAGTCTAATAATATTATATTTACAAACCTATGATGAGAAGTAAGTGCAATTGTATTATTTGAAAAGATAAGATGGATCAGGTTATTTAATACATCAATAAAAGGCAACTTTAAACATATTAACGGGCAATGTGCAAGGAACATCAATCATACCTTGGTCTTAAAGATGTCAGTTGTTTCAAAGCAAATGGCTATGCTGTGGTTTTATTTTATTATAACCTAGGTGTAAATTTTGCTTCCCTTTGTTTGGGGGTAGGGTAATATGAATTTTATGATTATGAGTTCAAAACAAAGAGAATAAAATTCAAACTTAGGATAAAAGTGAACCACAACTGAGCTGCAATATTAAGTGTTGCAAGTATACGTGGGGGAAGTACTTTAAAGTCTTTGGTTAGAAGGTACTTTCTAAAGGCTAGCTGTTAAAATATGCGTGGTAAGTATACTTCCTCTGTTTAGCCCTCTGGATGCTTTGTTTTTTTTCTAGGGGGACTCCTTTAATGTTTTTGCAGAGGGGAGCTCTGCTTCTCTTTAATGAACATTATTTTTACTGTGGAGAAAAATATTTCAAGCTCAGTGTAAAACTGAATGTATCAGTGACTTAAACCAGTTAATATTGTCAAGCTGCTTTATTAGCTTGATTCAGTAATATTGCAGTGCACCTACCATCAAGCATCACATCATCAATGTTGCAGAGGTTGGCAGTTTATTAGAAGGTGGTTGATAAGCCTTCAAGCAAGCTGTCTGTAGTTTTGGAAATAAAGAGTCTAAGGTCTCACACAAGTGATGGGAGGCAAAAGATTGGAGTACCGATATGTTTTTCAGTAAACACGCGCAACTGTATGTGTATAGTGGCCACATTATGCTTACTCAATGCATGTAAAATAACACAATAGATCTTGCTACCCATTTTCCCTGATTTTATTTCCCCTCCAGGGGACATAATTTCTTTTAACATATTGGGGTTTTCAAAAAAGGGGCAAGAAGCTTTTAAATGAATTTTAATTCATTTAATTTAAGCACAGTATCAAAGAAATTAAAGAGAAGAATCAGACTAGAGTAACAGTAACCCAGAGGGGGGGGGGTACTCACCAAAGAGGCTCTGCCCCAGGGACCAACCCTTTACCCTTTGTATGTACCATTTTAGACAGAAAAGGGTCCCCTTTTGTATACCCTCTAGTGACAAATGGTACCCCTTTCACATACCTAATTTAGAATGCTGCATCCCTTTTTAACTGCTGTAAATACATCATCTTTACAATATGAATAAATAGCTAAAACAGGTTTTCTTGTCTCTCACATCCATAAAATGCATCTGTGACTGATCTCATTTTGGTCCCTTTCATATACTTCAACTATAAAAACCCCTTCCCTTTCATGTACCTGAAGCCTGAATAAGGCTTCAGGCTCTGTTTAGGCCATTATAGTACCCCCTCCTCCTGCACCGAGAACAGTACTTGATACAGCGATATTGTATGGTATGAATTGCACCAAACGTTTCGTGCCCATGAAGAGGTACTTTGATTATTTTACAACATTTTTCTTCAAAATGGAGAGGTTTGGGATCTCATTCTTAGGGGGGCGGGGGGTTAATTGAGGATCTGCAGTGAGTGAGAATGTTGCATTCAATGCAATCCAATGGTTTTGATTCAGGAAAGGGTCGTCAGGGGTATTTCGCAGAAAGACAAATGGCCACTGTACGACTTTGAAGCAGTTACTGATTAGGGTGAGGAAAATGAGTGAATTAGGTTTCATTAGGGTCATTATACAGGTCTATACTGGGCAAACTGACCTGAAACAAATTGTTTCACAAAATAATAAACTGATATTATTTTATTTTCATGGATCAGTGAAACACTCCAATATCGTGAATGCTTGCAGTGTAGTAGATCTAATAATATTAAAAGCAGAACCAGATTGTTAAAGTAGTCTCACTAATTATGTGATGACCTGGTCAATAACATTTTTCAAAGCAGTCATCTCTATCAAAGGAAATACAAGAAAACTGCACACAAGCTACTTGACTACTTCGATGTATGTTATCTATCATGGAAAAGTAGTTCATTGCTTTGTGGGCTAGACTCAGTATAGATTCGCTTGAGTTCCAAATATGGCTGTACATGTGCTTTGAGACTTTTTGTCCCGATTGGCTTCTTTCAACTGCAGTTGGAGCATATTTTGTTTCCTACGGATAATTGTTTAGTAAAACGCAAAGAGGTGAAAAACGTCATGAAGTTATTACCTCCGTAATTATTTCAAGCACCTCATGAGCATATAGTTCAAGTAAAATAACGCCGTTATCGGTTAAGTTTGTTTCGACGGTTCTCTATCATCGATCATCGGCCATATTGGATTTTTATGGAGGTTTCCGCTGACAACTCGTTCCCAGACTTCCGTTCCCCGTTCCCCGCTCCCCGCTCCCCGTTCCCCGTTTTAGTAACATCCGGTGACCGGTTAATTTAGAGTAGTTCACAGAAATTAGGGAGATGATTCCCGCGACCCCTTAATTGGTAATTCACGATCTTGAGGGTGAACGCTTAACAAAGCTTCGCTAAAAGTTTGTTTGTTGTCTACTCACCGAGTCTGTAGCTCGGTTATCAAACCAGTATTCTTGGTGGTAGCCAGCTGAAGCTGGGTTCTATCGCGAGTAATTTCTCCCAATTTGGTCCTAAGTTCTTCAAGCTGACGCTCATACATGGTTTTTAATGCAGTGATCTGATTTTCTTGTATCTTCACAGTTGACGTGTTTGCAAACTAACGCTATAAAGGCTACTACTCTCTCCCGCTCCACTGCCGCTTAGACTCCGCAATTGTCGCACCCGAGAAACGTACGACGCAAACCGCTTATTGAGACTTTGAATATATTCCTTCTCCATGCACGCACACCGCGGTTCTTCTTCAACGTGTGGGGGGCTCTCGGAAGACATGTTTTTATAGACACTTCTTGGCGGAAGACCTTTGAGCACCTAAGAAACAAGCGATCTTTGAGGATGTAAACGTAACACTCGAAATCATGAAAATTAGGGAAATTTGAACTCAGTGCAGGTTAATATACTGGGACGAGAAGCTTATAAGGAGACGATTTACAAGTTCTAAAAGCAATAATATAAAATGATATGGATGACAAAAGAAGGCCTTCACCATGTAAAGCTGGCAATCAGTAGTTTTTTCTGTGGCACTCCCAGGACAAGACACTGATTTTGGCAAGACAAGAACATTTTTTTTGTTTAGTTCTTTCATGAGAATATACGAGAGGTGATATATTTATTAGTCTGAAGAAAATGAATGTATCAAACAGAGGATTTCAAGCATGAAGTAAGTGAGACCTCTATACCCGATATTTAGGTACTCAATTCACCTGTAGTCTCAGCGGAAACTAACAGTTTTACATCCTCTTAGTTTACTAAGGAAAGTGTGAGCGAATTAATAAGTTTTTCTTGAAGCAAAGTCAAACTATCTCGTTAGGGAAACTGAAAGGAATAGACCCAAGTCACAGTTATGGTACGAAATTGTTGCTTAAT